TTTTTCATGTAAGGGATGTTAACTTTAAATTTTGATCTCGCTTCCGCAGTCGATATATTTAAATACTCATTTCATTTTAATATTTTCCGGGGCCGTTACAATTATTATTATTATTATTATTTTACTTAATTATTTTTAATTAATTCTAAATAAATATAATTAAGTATTAATCGAATTTAATTTATTTTAAATTACTTTAATTTATATTAAATAGAAATAATAATAATAAATATAATAAAAAGGGGGTAAAATTATTTTAGGGATTTAATTGAAAGTAATTTTATGAAAAAAAGGTGAAATTTTGGGTTCTGGGGGTATTTTTGAAAGAAAATTTGAAAATCAGGGTCGTTACAGTTGGTATCAGAGCCGCGTTCATCGGACTCGTCCCTTACACAATAATATGTAGAGACATACAAAACCAATGAATCATTACTCAATCCTTTCATGTGAAATGCAGGTGCAGAGAGATGGGGAGAGAAAGACCCCCACTAAACCGAGCAGCTTGGGATGGTTCACTTTGGGAGGACGTTGACAGAATATTTGAAATGCTGAAAAGGCTCATTGCTGCCCAGCAGGGTCGAGAGGAGAGAAAGGAACTACCCGACCCTCCCCACTGCCACAAGTTGAGCCACCATTGCAGTAAGAAAATCTCGAGTCACCCCGGTACGAGCCTGCTTCTCCACAGTACCGCTAGGTGTCACCCCCGCAGTATAATCCGATGCCCCACTGCAGTACTGTCTGGCACTGCCACAGTACAATCCGGTGCCCCCACCATACCAGCTAGTGCCACCACAGCGCCCCCCAGTCTATCCTTAGCCCAGCCCAGTCCCCCTTCCGCGGGACCCAACTCCTTCATTGATTGACTCGAGCTACGTAGAGAGGTATAGGAGACTGAACCCTTCCACTTTTGAAGGAAACTCCTCTTTTGAAGATGCCTAATACTGGTTGGCGGAGACGGATAAGACTTTCAAGACCCTAGGAGTGGGTCACCCTTGCTACCTACATGCTGGTGGGAGAAGTAGATCGTTGGTGGGAACTCAAGCAGACCACATTGCCTGTTCCAGTCACTTGGGAACAGTTCTTAGTAGCATTCCATGCGGAGTACCTCCTATAGCACATCCGACATCTAAAGGAGATGGAGTTTATCTAGTTAGTCTAGGGAAACATGACAGTGTCGGAATATGCTCGTAAGTTCCTGGAGTTGGGCCAATACTATCCTGAGACATTGATGGATGACGGTAGAAAGGGTAGGAGGTTCTAATGGGGCCTCCGCCCAGAGATCAAGTAACACTTATTTGTACTGGAGCTCAAGAGATACTCAGCCATTCTGGCAAAGGCACAGTTAGTGGAGAGGAGCCTCCACACTCTTCCTCAGTCAGCAGGGAGTCATAGACCCTCAGCTCTACCCCGTAAACCAGCACCTACTACGCCCGTCCAATAGAATAAGAGGCCCAGACCGGTGATCTAGGCTCTCCCTTAGGCTCTAATGGCAGGACGTGGTAAGATATATCAGCATTGCGGCAGGGATCACGGGGACCGACCATGTTACTACCTCAACAACACTTGTCGCATATGTGGTAGTGCCCAACACTATGCGAGAGAGTGCCCAAGGAACCAGAATCCAGGAAGACCTCATATTCAAGGCAGGGTTTACAACCTTATCCAGCAGGATACCGATGCCGACCCGGACGTGGTACAGGATATGTACACTATCTGTAACTATTTTGCTCATGTTTTGTTTGATACTAGTGCATTGTATTCATTTGTTTCACCTGTTTTTGCATCCAAATTTAATGTATTACCTGATAAATTTGATTCGATGTTAATTGTGTCTACTGCTGGGAGTGCAACATTACTAGGAGAAGTTATCTATAAGGTTTGTACCATTGAGATAGCAAATAGGAAACTGAGTGTAGACCTGATAGAATTAGACATAGGAAATTTTGATGTAATTTTAGGGATGAATTGGCTAGCGGCGTATCACGCCACTATAGATTGTTTTAGCAAAAAGGTTGTATTCAATCTTCCAAATGGGGAGTCATTTACAAATGAATAAAATCATTTAGTACTTGCTACTTGATGACAATTTTCTTACTTGTCAGTTTTTTAACTTTGCTATTTTCTCTAACTAGGCAAACTCAAGAAATATAATTGTATTCAAGAGATTCCGGTAGTCTGAGACTTTCCAGATGTATTTCCAGATGAACTGCCCAGACAACCAGTAGACAGGGAAGTCGAGTTCACCATAGACCTACATCCTGACACCCAACCTATTTCGGTTGCTCCTTACTGCATGAGTCGCGTTGAGATGGAGGAGATGAGGAAGCAGATCACTGAATTGTAAGACAGTGTGTCCCCTTGGGGTGCCGGAGTCACTTTTGCCAAGAAGGGAGATGGAACGTTGATGCTATGTATTGATTACAGAGGATTGAACAGTGTCACAATCAAGAACAAGTATCCCCTTCCTATAATTGATGACCTCTTTGAAGAGTTGCAGGGTGCGCATGTCTTCTCCAAAATAGACCTGCGATTAGGTTACCATCAGGTGAAAATAAGAACATAAGACATCCCCAATACGACCTTTCAAACCAGGTATGGATACTATGAGTTTCTGGTCATGCTATTTGGGCTAACCAATGTCCGAGTCATCTTCATGGATCTGATGAACAGGGTCTTCAGAGAATTCCTAAATCAATTTGTTATCGTGTTCATCGATGACATATTGGTCTACTCAAAAAGTAGAGAAGAACATGATCACCATCTAGCACAGGTTTTGCAGGTTCTCAGAAGAAAGAAACTGTATGCAAAGTTGAGTAAGTGTGGATTTTGGCTTGAGCAGACCGCCTTCTTATGACACATCATATCAAATGATGAAGTATCAGTGAATCATGAAAAGGTTGAAGCGGTGCTCGGCTGGGAGAAATTGACATCAGTCAAAGAAATCCGTAGCTTTCTGAGAATGGCGGGCTATTAACGTAGGTTCATTAAAGGATTTTCTAGCCTAGCGGCTCCCTTAACCCGACTTACAAAGAAGAATACCAAGTTTGAGTGGAATGAGAATTGTGAAAGAAGTTTTTCAGAACTGAAGAAGTGGCTGACTACTGCACCCGTGCTGGCCTTACCGAGTGGATCGGGGGGATATACGGTTTAAAGTGATGCCTCCTATCTAGGTCTGGGTTGTGTCATAATGCAGTATGGGAATGTCATATCTTATGGGTCCAGACAGTTAAAGAGTCATGAGAAAAATTATCCCACCAATGACTTAGAGCTTGCTGCAATCATACATGCCTTGAAGACCTAGCGCCATTATTTATACAGAGAGACCTTTCAGGATCTATACCGATCATAAGAGTTTGAAACACATATTCACTCAGAATGATTTCAACATGCATAAGAGAAGGTGGATAGAAATTCTTAAAGACTATGATTGTGATATCTTGTATCATCTCCAATATTGTTTTCAATTTTGTCATTAATTTATTTTTTTTTTCAAAAATTTAATAAATTAAATAATTATTTTAATATAATTATTTTGTAAATAAATTAATAAGAAAATTTATCTTGAAACGATTTTCATGTCCGAATATTATATATAGCATGATATGGTATAAAAGATTGTTCTTAAAAATAAAAAAATAAATAATTTTATGAACTTACTGTTTAAAGTAATTTAATATTTTGCTCAACCTGTTTACAATAATATCTTATACGGAAAAAATAATAATTAATTTTTATAAGTAACGAATAATGTAGGTCATGAAATTAAAAAAAATCATAAATTAAAATTAAATAGTTGTATCTTGATTTATACTAATAATTATACTTGCATTTAAAAAATATGATATCCTATATGGAAAAAAATGTAATAATATTTTAAGTAACAACTAAATTTTTAGCATGGGTATGTATAGAATGTAATTTTTAAAAATTATAAAAAAATAATAAAGAAACAATTTTACCCAAATAAATGAAAACAATTTATATTGTTAACAAATTATCATAGTGTATAAAGTGCGAGAAATAAATACATGATTAATGTTATATAATGCACAATTTCAAAATTTATATTGAACTAAAAAGTGAATATATAATTACTGTATTTATATTTGCATTTAAATTATAATTTTATACCATAAAAATTTAATAAATTACTATTATTAATTAAATAATTTAATTTTATGGTAATATTTAATTTTAAACTGCTATACCAGGTTTAATTTTACTTATTAAGTAAGTCCATTATACCAGGTTTCAAACAATTATTATAAACCAAATGAAGCATTTAATATATTTAGTTAATTTATTTTCGTTGTTTATAGACGTTTATAATATAATATTTAAAATATCAAAATTATTAAATTTCTAAAAACAATAATAATAATTAACAAACTTTATCCATAGAAAAAAAAAATTTAAAGCATCATCCAGGGTTAGACACAACGAAGACAGTTAAGCTTATGACGTGTCACTGTCTCATCGAGCACAGCCAACTCTTCTTTTTCCCCATGACGCTCCGCTTTCCATTTCAAGCAGTATTTTTCTCAGCTACAAACTTTTAAACCGCTGATCGTTAGGTGACGTCATGTACTGAATTACCGAACATGCCCTCCACTGAATTTTTGCTGTCGGCTAATGACGGCGAGTACTATTATATTTTTATACTCGCAGGAGTAAAAAATTATAAATGGCGAAACCCAAAAATTAACTTTTTACTATAATTTAATTTTTTCCTTTTATTTGTTATTTTTCCAATTTGCCCGCTGTTATTCCCGCTCATTTTAGCCCTTATTTTTTTTTCAAAATCTCTCCTCTTCGCGGGCCCATTAAGGAAGTTTTAAACGCAACTCTTTCCTTCCACGTCAGCATCAACGTGCCACGTCATCGCTGTAAGTATTTATATTTTTTTGAGAGTTTTTTAACTGCCATTTTTTTAAAAAAATAAATCATTTGAATTTAAATATAAAAGTTTTCATAAAAGAAAATCCATCGTTCTCCTCTCACCAGTTATTGGAAGTCTTCTTTCAATTTCAAGTTTTCAACTCTCTCTCTCTCTCTCTCTCTCTCTCTCTCTCTCTCTCTGTGTCTGCAACTCCCTTTGTCTTAAAGAAGAAGAAACAATCTCTCTGTGTCTCTGTTTCTTCTGCTTTCTCTTTCTCTCCGTAGCTACAAGCTTGTGAGAGATAAAGGAAATAGAATTCAAAAGGAAGAAAAGAAAATGTTCTTCTTCGCTTTTCTCTATCTAGCCATGTGAACTCACTGACACATTCCCCTCTTCTTCCTCTTCTACTCTTGTGTGTGCGTCTCGTTTACATTTTGACTGCATCCAGTCGCCAACTCAGTGACTGGGCTCAGTAATGGCCTCATCGTCTCGAGCGAGGAGTAGCTCGCCTTTCTCGTATCGTAAGCCGTCGAGTCCGTATTCATCGACTTCATCGACTTCATCTTACATCAGCAACCGGCTAATGCCTCGCTCGTGCTCCTCCTCAGCTTCTTCGTACTTCAACTCAGGGGGAGGGCTTGGCTCTCGATCCATGACGCCGAGTCGCAGCCGCACAGATTCGATGTACCACGGCGGACGTGGCCACGGTGGCTGCACGCCGGTCGAGTACGGGGCGGAGGAGCTGATTGGAGAACCAGTGGACGCGTCGAGGTCTGGAGGGGATAGTATTTCGGTTACGATTCGGTTTAGGCCGTTGAGGTAATGGCAGATCTGGGCTTACTTGATCGGATCTAAATGAAGAAGAAGTTTGATTGTTTTGAGTAAGGTTTGGTCTTGAAATAACGGGATTCGGTGACTGGTTGCTTCCTTGAACGTTTTGCTTATTTCAGTTTTGACTTGTTTGTCTACAGTGAGAGAGAGTACCAGAGAGGGGATGAGATCGCGTGGTATGCCGATGGGGATAAGATTGTGAGGAATGAGTATAATCCAGCAACAGCATATGCATTTGGTATTGCTTTTACCAGTCTTCGATTTTGAACTTCCGATGTCATGATTATTATTTTTTTCCTGTTTGCTAAATTTAACTTTAAACACAAATGTCGCATCACTGCGTTGGCATTGAGTCGATTATACTTTTCTTTAATGGCAGATAAAGTTTTTGGACCTCATGCAACTTCGCAAGAAGTATATGAGGTAGCTGCGAAGCCAGTAGTAAAGGCAGCAATGGAAGGAGTAAATGGTATTTGATCACTCTAATCTGAGGATAAATTCTGATTAAATTGCTACCCGAAATCATATTTATAAATGACCAATTATTAATTAGTCTGAAGTTATTGCAACTATGTTGCTTTAATAATTTGCTAAGTGCTGTCTAAATGTTTATAGAGTCTATTGAAGAAAAGTAACTGAATATCTTAATATGTCAAATGTTCGTAATGCAGGGACAGTATTCGCTTATGGAGTTACAAGTAGTGGTAAGACGCACACCATGCATGTAAGTATTGATGTTTGCTATTATGCAGCCTTTTGCGCCTTTTTCTTGTTTCCCCATCCTCAATCTTAAAAAGTAAAGAGAATCTCTTTAGTTGGCCTTGTACTCCAAATACCTTCCTAAATGCCCTTTGCATTCTGATTCTGCTTTAAGAAAAGAAATGACATCAGATCTTTCTGCTATTTCTAATTGATGCGAGGCTGTATAAGTCTTTTCCATTTTTATTTTCCAAGGTTCAAGTTAGGCAATTATAGAAAGAAATCTCATATATTTCTAGTGATTGAAGGAAATCGCTATGCGGAGAGCATGAGACCATGTTTCCATACTCCTTGATGCTTTACTTCCTCCTTGAAGTAACTTTGGAAAAATCCTAAATCCTGCTTTTGAAGGGCAGCACAACTATGTGTATTTCTAGTTACCTATGCTGAAATAAAATGAGTTGTACTGTTTATGAAAGCATTCTGAGAACTTCTTACCTGAGAGTAGTGGGAGGAACCAAACATTTGGTTTTGTTAAATTTCAATTTCATATGCATTAGTTTCCTACTGTTGTACCATTGGTGCCTACATGTGTAGTTCTTAGTTACCTTTGTGGGATTGGAACTATTCTTTTTATTTGGGCTGAGGAGACAACTCGTTAGTCATCTCTTAACCATCTGTTTAAATTGGTTAATTAGCCATAAAGGAATTCAGATCAATGCACATAATTTTTGGTCCAAGCTTCTGAAAACATTTAGTTTATGTCATTAGTAAAATCAATTATATATTTACATATGATGTTTTTCTAGCACGCGCACATTGTTGTTTTAACTGGAATTGAGCCTTCTGGGGTGCTTTTTTGATTCACAGTTATAGATAGTGGTAAAGTGCAACTTGTGTTTTTGTTTTATCGACTGTAGGCATATGAATCTCTTCCTGTCCATAGTTATAACATTATGTTGTTGTTTCCATTCATAAACTGAGCTGTTGAAAACATATGCATGATTCTCTTCATTTTTTGTTTTTTTTGTCTTAACAATGTGCACAGGGAGATCAAAATTCTCCAGGTATTATACCCTTGGCGATAAAAGATGTTTTCAGCATTATCCAAGATGTAAGCACTCCATCTATTAGTCTAGTCTTGCTATGTCTTTCCACATTCTTTTTACGCTGCACCATATGAATTTCTGATACATCTTCACTTTAATTAATGATACTGTTAAATCAAAACTTTTTATCGATCACCCTGCTGCATTGTCTTGAACCTATTTTTTTCATTTACAATTATTTACGCAGAGTCTAATATGTTTCTGCACCTCCATCAATGTTATTTATAAGAGGAACCAAAGGTCTATTTGGTGGTTTAAGTACAGTACTTATTTTATGGTTTTTTTATTGATCATTGAGTTCATTTATTCTCTTGTTTTCGGTAATATGGATGAGAATTGACATCTCTTTCTTAGTTAACATAGTTTACTTTGTAAAGTAAATTTCAATCAATAAGGAATAGATTGCTAATTTTCTTCTTAATTTAGACTCCAGGAAGAGAATTCCTTCTCCGAGTGTCATATCTTGAAATCTACAATGAGGTAAGTGCCACATTTCAGCTGTTATTTGGGACATTATATGCACTGTCAATGAACATTTTTCTATTCTGATACAACGGCGTATCGATATTTTTGTTGTTGTTGGAATGTTATCTAAAGAACTTGGAACAGTTAATTCTAGAAGATTACAGCTTAGGTTTCTTGCCTTTTATGCATAGTTCTTTTTTTTTTCCCCGATATAGAATATCGAAAAATATTTATTTGAGAATCAATATTTGGTATTGCGAAAACATTATTTCATTCATTTCCTACGCATGCAGATATTTATATATAAGTATATATGTAAATATATGTATGTTTGTACCTATAGTTTTATGAATCTAATATATATATTCATATATGCATGTGTATGTATATATATGTATCATACATGATAATAAAGGATGAAAGAAAAAACAATTTTCTAGCAGATATTTAAATAACATTTTCATATTTTCAATACCATATGCCAAAATTTTTTATTTCATTTTCTAGAAACTGTTCTCATTTAAGCTGTCACTTTTTTCTTTTTTTTTGGGATATTTTCATTGCTTAAACCGTGAAAGCAAAATACTTCATGTTTTTGAGACCTAAAACTGGCCGGTGATTTTCTATTTTGAAAAGGGTTGTATGTTTAATGTTATTGAGATTTGTCTCATTGAAAGCTATCATTTGGTGGTGGTATGCTTGCTCCTTGTATCAGGTGATAAATGATTTGCTTGATCCAACGGGACAAAATTTGCGAGTTAGAGAAGATTCCCAGGTTTTTTGCTCAGCACTCATTCATTTCTTTTAGTTCTCTCTCATTTCTTTTCTTGGTTCTTCATAAGAATAGTAGTAAGCAAGAAAAGATGGAATTTTGGTAATTTATGCAACAATTTGAATAGTGTACCTTCTATGGAAGGTAGTTGAGTCTTTTAGTTGCCATATTAGCTCACTCCTATCCTATTTCTTTGTATCCTTAAACTTAAAAAATCTATGACTTGTTCAGTTTTGCTAATTGTTTATCTGTTTCTCAGGGCACTTATGTTGAAGGTATAAAGGAAGAGGTTGTCTTGTCTCCTGGTCATGCACTATCTTTCATTGCTGCTGGAGAAGGTATTTAGAGAACTTATTTCAGCACTTTTCCTCGATTTTTCTGGCTTCCTTCTTTTTCACCTTGTCTCACCTTTAGCTGGCTGACATATTGTTGAGAAATTCTTAGAATTAAGCTCCATCCAATGTATTTTTGGCAGAGCATCGTCATGTTGGTTCAAATAACTTCAATCTATTGAGTAGTCGAAGTCACACCATATTCACATTGGTAAGAATTCTCTGTTGTCATTTTTAACTTCGATCTTTAGTGTTCCTGTTGGTGCCTGTGCTTTCTTTTGGCTAGAATTTTTTTCTGACTTGCTCTAAATTGCCTACGATTTTGCAGATGATTGAAAGTAGTGCACATGGTGACGAATATGATGGAGTGATTTTCTCCCAACTTGTATGACTCTGTTTTAGTTTTTTCAAGTTACAATAATTTGTGTGTATGTATTGTTCTTTTTGCTTTCTTGCTTATTAGTCTTTCTTTCTCCTGTACAGAATTTAATTGATCTTGCTGGATCCGAGAGTTCAAAAACTGAAACAACCGGGCTGAGGAGAAAGGAAGGCTCTTATATAAACAAGAGTCTTCTAACTCTTGGAACTGTAGGTTCATTTTAATAGTAGTTGTTATGTAGGATTTCATTTTCAACAGTAATTTCTTTAACTGTTTTTACCATGGTACTGACGTTGATGCTATAATTTCTTCCATAATTATGAGATTGGTGAGAGATTGATTTTTTGAATATACTTTCTTAGAATTGCTTTTCTCTAAGACACTAATTTAATTGGATCAAATGCATCCTGGAATTGGTGCTCAGTGTTTGTCTGCAACTAATTGATCTTTGCTACAGGGAAGTTCATAATTATGTACTTAAAACTGCAGTATTTTGACTTGATAGTGTAGTTTTCAGTTTATAACTTCATATGGTTGCACTATGAAGGTAATAGGAAAGTTGAGTGAGGGAAAGGCATCTCATGTCCCATATCGGGACTCCAAGCTTACTCGGCTTTTGCAATCTTCATTGAGTGGGCATGGACATGTCTCGGTGAGTATAAAATATTACAAAATCTGATTTATTACTGAATAGTTTAGTAAATTGGAGTTTTAGCTGTCTTATGATAAATTAGGTGTTAATGGAAGTGCATTGTGCATTTTAATGTGGTCTCGCATCATATGAAGTCTAAGATATTGTATTTTACTGGCCCTTTTGATATCTGTCATTTTGATATTTGTTTTTTGCATAATAATGTCTTTATATAATGCCTATGCTGCATCACATTGTCAACCAACATAAGAAAACTAACTTAAACTTCCCTTGAAAAAAATTACAGCTTATATGTACAGTTACTCCTGCATCTAGTAATCTGGAGGAAACTCATAACACATTAAAGTTTGCAAGTAGGGCAAAGCGAGTGGAAATCTATGCCTCACGTAATAAGGTGCTCAATAAGCTCACTGTATTAACTTTAAATAAAAGAAAACAATAAGCAGTTAAAACTCAGCCTCATGTTGCTTTTGCAAAAAAACTGGGTTTCAGATTATTGATGAGAAGTCATTGATTAAGAAATACCAAAGAGAAATCTCAAACCTCAAAGAAGAACTTGATCAGCTAAGGAAAGGGATGCTAGTTGGTGTCAGTCATGAGGAAATACTGAGCCTAAGGCAACAGGTTTTAACTTCTTCTGCCTCCCCCAGGGTTCTATCCTTTTAGTGGGTTTGTGTGGACTTCTTACAAAGACAACTTTCTTGTATTAGTTGGAAGAGGGTCAGGTGAAAATGCAGTCAAGATTGGAGGAAGAAGAGGAAGCCAAAGCAGCTCTGATTAACAGAATCCAAAAGCTTACCAAACTCATACTTGTATCTACAAAGAATTCAATCCCTGGTTGTTTGAATGACATTCCTAGTCATCAAAGGAGTCATTCTGTTGTTGAGGATGATGTAAGTTCTTATTTTCTCTTTAGTCATGTCAACAAAAGCATAGGTCTTTACATTTATGCATTTGTTATTTGACTCATGTCTGGTGAAGAAATTTCATCTGAAAATCTGAACATCTGAATTGTGATTGATTATTTGAATGGTTTTTAGTCTTCAGTCAAGCATGGTAAGATTGTCTTACTCAGGTTAATTATCATCTTGAGAGCACTATCATAACTCAGCAGAATTCCCCTTGCAAACTTTTTGTTTGCGAATTTTTGTTTTTGTACTGTAACTTGGCAGTACTTCATTTTGGTATGCAGAAGACAAATATGATGTTTTCCCTGTTCTCTTTTGTCCAGAAGTTAGATGTCTTGCGAGAGGGTTCTCCAGTTTTAGACAGTGAAACTCAAAGGGAGTCTCCATCTTCTGCGCTAGTTATCTCATCAGATCCTTCTTTTGGTTTTAAGCACAGAAGATCTTCCAGCAAGTGGAATCAAGAACTATCTCCAGCAAGTAGTACAGTTACCGAGTCAACTCAATTGGGTGAACTTATGAGTGGTTCAAAAGTTCCTGCAGTATGTTTTGATATTATTTTATTTGATGTTTATTTTTATTCAAATTTATGGAAATAAAAAACTTTGCTGGCACCTGGCTTGACTTACCTGGGCTATAGATAATTCCTATATTCATGATTCTTATGCCATTTCAAAAGGCTTTGTCTTCTTGAAGTGAAATTTGTGTTCCTTTCTCCTTGTTTAGCTCTGTTATTGGTCACATCTATTTAGCAAATATTCCGATTTGGCTTGTGACACTTTGCGCCTTCTTCTCATTCAAACTAAACTATCTCATGAAAACAATATGGATCGGAACAGGGAGTGAACTGTATTTCCTTCGCCATCGGATACTATAACTGCTTTGATTTTTCCTTGCAGTTTGGTTTAGAGCCTAAATTTCATGTCTCAATCGATCAGAGAGAGACACCCTTAAGCATATTTGGGAGGAAATTAAACCGGACTGCTGTTTAAGGGGTTCTTTAAAGTCAACTTGCAGGGTTTCTTGGATGTCCCTTTCTCTTCTTTTGTTGGAAATTACTTGACCATGAACTCTGAAATATCTAACATCTAGTGTATGGAGGATCTACGTTTTACTTGCTTTAGTTTAGTAATAAAGTGTTGTAATTAGGCATATAAGAATGGATGTTTGATGTTTTAATTTCAAAAGATTCCACTAACATTTGACATTATATTTGACTTTTTTGTTAATTATTGAAGGGTGGGTTGACATCAGATCAGATGGACCTTCTCGTAGAGCAAGTTAAGATGCTTGCTGGGGAAATTGCATTCAGTACCAGCACCCTGAAACGCCTTGTGGAACAGTCTGTAAATGATCCTGATGGCTCAAAAATCCAAGTAGGTTCCATTCACTCGATTATCTCTGCATGTGTGCATGCATATTTGTAGCAGAAAATCACTCTTTTGTTACAGTAAAAGTTAACAAATGATATACAATTACTGGTTGCAATTCATTTAAGCTTCAAGTAAAATGGTTGGGTATATTATACGTACATCAAGTAAGTTTATCCTTGTCACCTCTGTGTGCAATCCCTTTTTATTAATTAGAGAACTTTCCTAATTTACTCTTCTATTTCTTTGAAAATTGTTTTCAGTAATTTTAACACTGTTTGAAATGTGAAAAGTGAAGAGAAATAAAAGGAAAGGATGTATGTTCAGATTCTTTCCTTATTTTGATTTAAGGATTAAGTGAGGAAAGGCAAAGAAAGTGTCAAACAATTTTTGCATTTCCCCAAATTGGGGCAAAAGGAAGGGAAAGCAAAGGATCTAAAAAATTGTAAATATGTGTGACAACTCGAACCTACTATTTAACTTGTTAATTTTATTAATGAAGGGTATAATGGATTAGTCTCATAACATATCATTCCTCTTTTACATGCGCTGCTATAGTCTTTCCTTTATCAATTTTCAGTTATTTGAACAAGGGGAGCGCATTATTTTTACTTTTCCTAGAGAAGCCCTTCATTTATTTTCTTATTTTTTTAAATGCTCTCCTTTCCTTTCCTGTACCAAACATAAGTCTACCTACTGCGTGATGCAGAATATAAAAGATGTTCAGTTAATTATGTAACCTACTTTAAGTCTATGTAGGGTTTAGAAACCTTTATTATTATCTTGATTTCTTTTAAAGAGATAATCAGATTTGTGGTTTTGCAAGAAGGTGAAAGTAGTTTTCAGCTGTGGTAGCAAATTATATAGCAAGATACCAGGTGGGAGGAATAAGGAGAGAAAATAGAAATTATGAAGAAATAAGGGGAACATGAAATTTCTTTATTCTTAAAGAATGTTGGTTACACTTTTGGCATGCAAAAAATAAGGGGAAAGTTTGGAAGTTTGTTCAATGTAATGAGCAACACAATTTATTTCGGGATCTATACAAGGCATGCTGGCAACCACCAAGTAAAATATTTCAGTTGAATAGTTTTGGCTTTCAATTGGCTGGCCGTGTGGCCATATATTTTTTTCTGAAGGCGAAAATCAATTGTCTAAGTGCTTTTCCAAAACCAGATCCAGAACTTGGAAAGGGAGATTCAAGAGAAAAAAAGGCAAATGAGAGTTTTAGAACAACGCATTATTGAGAATGGGGAGGCGTCAATTTCAAATTCATCATTGGTTGATATGCAGCAGGTATCTTTTCATGTCCTCTTTAATCATTGTCATTTATTTCCTCTTGGGTTGTTTCATAATATTTTCTTTTCTAAGCACTTCTTTCCCTGATCTGTTTATTCTTTTACTTGCCTTGATGTATTTCTAAATTCTTTTGTTTTGCAACAGACAGTAATGAGACTGATGACCCAATTTAATGAAAAGAGCTTTGAGCTGGAGGTGGGTATTTCATATCAGTTTGATAAAATTCAAAGAATCAGATCTTCCGCCAACTAGACTAACCTGTTGCACAATAATTCCTTGAGGCTTTTCATACTGTATATGATTGAAGTGGAGCTTCTGATTTTCATCAGTTTTCTAAATTGCTTTCAACATACGCAGATCAAATCAGCAGATAACCGAATTCTCCAGGAACAACTGACGAATAAGGTTGATTTTCTTGGTCTTTTAGCCATAATTTATGAACTAGATTTCTATTTAAGATTTTGATTTAGGGTTTTGCTAACTCTTTATTGGCTCAAAATTCTGCCTTTCTTTACTAATTTTTTCTCTTCCTAAATGTCAAAACTACTAATATGAATGTTGGTTGCAGTGTGCTGAGAACAACGAATTGCAAGAGAAGGTGAATTTTCTGGAGCAAAAGTTGTCTTCTCTCTTGGGTGAGAAATCATCACTATCTTCGGAACAGTGTGCCTCCGAAGAATATGTTGATGAGTTGAGAAAGAAAGCTCAGTTGCAGGTGATTTCTTAATTTCTATGGATTTTGTAGTAGGTTTTGGAATTGCATGCTACATGGAATCATAGGTTTCAGCTGTTCACCAATTCGTGAATTCTGCAAATGTTAATAATCTGCACTGTGGAAAATCCATTAAAGGTTTTGGAAGATGAATCTGAACCTGCTCTGGTTGTCTAATACACGTGCTTCTTGAAAGATATTGACTTTTATGTTTTAGTTTAGAATTTTCATTTTGTTATTTATGCATCTATAATTGCTTCCCAGAGTGAATTTTTGTTTTCCTTGCTTAAAATTTTGTAATGACCCATGCAAACATGCATGCTCAGTTTACACAAAGTTGGAAGTTGTTCTTGCCTTGTCATCCAAATCCACGAGATTCTCGGCATTACCATACTCAGTAATGAGAATAGCTGGTAGTTCCTCATGCATAAATGTTGTATCATGACTGAATTTTAAGCTTTTTGAGTGAAGATATTCTTTCAGGAATGTTTTCAAAACCAAAGAGAGTTTTATATGTCAAGTTTTCTCTGTTTTACTGTGCTTTAACTTCTCAACTAAACTAAAGTTTGTTTTTATGCCAGGAGATTGAAAATGAGAAACTGAAACTAGAACATGTTCAGCTTTCAGAGGAAAATAGTGGATTACGTGTGCAAAACCAAAAACTGGCTGAAGAAGCGTCTTATGCAAAAGAACTGGCCTCTGCTGCTGCTGTTGAATTGAAGAACTTGGCTGGTGAAGTGACCAAGCTATCTTTGCAGAATGCAAAACTTGAAAAAGAATTGTTGGCTGCTAGAGAGATGGTACATTCACGAAATGGTAGCATACAGAATGTCAACGGTGTAAACCGAAAATATAGTGATGGTGTAAGGCCTGGGAGAAAGGGGCGGCTTTCTGGCCGGTCTAATGAAATTTCTGGAATGGTCTCTGATGACTTCGATTCATGGAATCTTGACCTAGAGGATTTGAAGATGGAATTACAGGCTAGGAAACAATGCGAAGCAGCTCTAGAGGCTGCATTGGCTGAGAAAGAATTTGTAGAAGATGAATATAGAAAAAAGGTTGAAGAATCTAAAAGGCGAGAAGAAGCTTTGGAGAATGATTTGGCAAATATGTGGGTGCTGGTTGCAAAATTGAAGAAAGACGGAGGTGCCATCCCTGAGTTGAACCCCGAAGAGAGGCAAGGTAATGGAATGGATCAGATTGATGATCTGAAAGCAAATGAAACTGATGGTATTGCAGTCTTGAAAGAGAGACAAGTATCAGATGTAATAAAATCTGCTGATGAAATGCCTAAGGAGGAACCCCTGGTTGCTCGCTTGAAGGTGAAATTATAACTTTGCATTTGTTTCCTTTCTGAATATTTTGTTGCAGCTTATTTTTGCATTCTCTCTGAGCAGAATCTTGGGCCTCCAAGTAAAATTTCTGCTAGATGATATGTTTCTTTGAAAGCAATGGAACATAAGGCAAGATCGGAATGCAAACTAGTTAACCATGCTTGAAAACAAAGAAGTAGGAAACAGTCTTCCTTAAAATAAGTTTACTGTTCAGATTTACTGTTGAAAAATCTCTCAATTTTCTTCTTTCAATTTCAGTAAATTAATTTTCCTAAAAATATGAGATATGGTTAAGAATTTCCATGATATGTAGATTTGGTTAAATTTTTTTTTTGCTTGTAATTGGTTTCCCATTTTTTATCTTTTGTAACGGCTATATATATACACACACCATGTATATGTTGTTTCTTGTCAATTTCTCTCTAAATACCACAAGATAACGGGGCCCGAGGTTTTTTTCTGTATCTCTCTCAATGTTTTGTTGTTCATGCTCTTTTTTTTTCTATTAAGATAACAAACCTACAGAGTTCGCAGTCTTGCTTCCCTTACCTTAGCCATGTTTCCCTAACCTCAATCTCATTCCTGTTGCTAACGCATTCACAGGGTAGGGAGCTCCTAAAGTGGGTATATTTCAATAATAGGAGATATGAGGCAGAACCATTGGGAAGTTAAATAAAAGGAGTAGGAGAATTTTATTTTATTTTATAAATTTTGAAAAGTTCTACAATAAAGAAATAGACAGATTTATTTTCCTGTTTCCTGGATTTCCTATCTCTCTAGTTTTTTGTATTTAATTTATTTTCCTATGTATTAGGTTTTTTATATTTCCTATTTTTGACGTATTTGGTGCTTATAAATAACATAACTAGTTTAGTTATTAAGTAAACTAATTATGATTGTTATTTAAATATTGAGATATTGTTTTGATTATTGAGATTTTAGATCTCTTAGCTTGTTTCTTAATAAAATTTCTTTAAGTTTTATTTTTAGATTTTCATTCTCCTATATCAGTTGGTATCATAGTCTAAATTTGATTCATCACGTTTTCCTAAGTGCTTAACATTTCACTTCCCAAAATACGCCCTCTGCTTCTTGCATATACACCTTGTCTCTCCTTAAAGCAGGAAAGATTTCTGTCCTACATCACTGTTCTTTTGCTCATGCATCCGTCCCTTGGAAGTTTCTCTAGCGCGCGTTTATCCTCATGCAAGTCTGCTCTTTCTGCATGTACCTGTGCATGCCAAACATTGTCTACTCTGCTTTTATTCGTTTTTCTTAACATAGCCTTTGTTGCCATGCAACTACTCTACCCTTTGTTGTGGGCTCTACTCTGGCTATGGACTGAAGGAGCCAATAAATTTGTTTTGCGACAAATTCTGCCATTAGTATTATTCACAATTCTGTGTAACGTGACAAAATGAAGCACATGAAGTAGATAGACACTTCATAACAGAAAAGTTAACAATAGATAGATTCGTACTCTATACAACTCAGCTAATTGTCAACTTTTAGATGTTCTAACAAAAGGAGTCAGTAATGTGATGTTCCATGGACTTAGCTGTAAGTGGGAATGAAAATGCATGTTCACCAACTTGAGAGGGAGTATCCGAAATTCTCTTTAATCTTCTCTGAATGTTAGGAAATTAATCTTCCTATAAATATTGGATAGCAGCTAGTCAATCTTAAATGTGGAAATTTCATTATTTGCCTTAATTAGCTTTTTTAATAACAGATATTTGTACCTATTTACATACTCCTCAGCATATAGGTTATTCATTTTTTATCTAAATCCTGCAAATATAGTAGCATTCTAGGAAGAATTGTTGTCTTTATCTCATTTCATAATTTGGGACGGAATGATCTTTTATGTTTCTCTTTGGTCTAATGCGCCTGAGTATTTTGCGAAGGGACTGGAAGGATCTAATATCATCTGCTAATGTGCCTTTCTCTTGTGCCCTGATAATATATTTCTTCTTTTCTCTCAAAACAGAAATGTTTGTTCATTGAGGCTCCAGGTCTTGAAATTGAATCAGATTGCATTTGCTTTTGATTTTGCATTTTCTGAAGCTTTCTTGATCTTTAGAAGTTCACAAATCTCCGCCCTATCAACTGTGGTGTAAAATATTTTCAAAGTAACTACTGTGCTATTTTTCAATTTGGGACACTTGTATAGTTTATTCCATTTAAGCCTTGAGAAAAGCAATAAACAACCATTTCTCTTTGATATTCTTCTAGATCATGCTGTTCCTTAAGTTCATGCGAATTGATATTAAGTAGAATCTTTTGACTGATAATTCTGTCCTTGTAATGCCATTTTTCTCTTTGAAGGATCTCATCTAATTTTATTCATTTAATACCTTCAGGCACGAATGCAAGAGATGAAGGAGAAAGAGCTCAAATCCCATGGAAATGGAGATGTCAACTCCCATATGTGTAAAGTTTGTTTTGAGTCACCAACTGCTGCAATTCTTCTCCCTTGCCGGCATTTTTGTTGTAAGTCAATTTATAATCACACATCTGAAATTTTCTACGGTTATGGATCATCATTGGAACTGTAAGTTCTTGGATACTCTTTTGCAGTGTGTAAATCCTGTTCGCTTGCCTGTTCAGAGTGTCCAATTTGTCGCACAAAAATTGCAGATAGGCTTTTTGCATTCACTTGAAGTTGCAATTTGATGGCCGCCAAATTAAGGTTTAGCCACTTAGTTCTGCTTCATCAGATGCAAATAATTTGTTAATCATCCGCTTAGTTCTGCTTGTTCCTGTACAAAATCTTAATTACTCATCCTAGTTGAGTAGCTTTCATCATTCAAAAACCTTAGGTTATAAACTAGATGGGGACATTTCATCAACAAAAGTATTTAACTAAATAAAATGAGGAGACCCTGGCCATCTCTGTTGACATTCTTTCATCTTTTTCTTTGTTTGCAGGTTTGTCACCATTCACCTCTTTGCTATTTTCCGTGCAATAGCAGGTGTGATTCTTTGATTAGTTTGCTTGTATGTAACTGCTCCAAAAAGTATATGAAATAGTTTGCTTATGTGCCTCACCTCTGGGGGCTGTAAAATAAGAGGGAATTTAAGGCAAAAAAGAAAAGCTCAAAATGATAACATTCTAAAATTTCCAATACAAGATGTTGCTTTTTTTTTTTTAGCACAGCAGAATGTTGTGATCTATTTTCGAAAATTTTTATGGTTATGTATAGTATACTGTTTGCTTCAACGAGAAGCATTTTTCCCCCGGGTCTGTGTAACTCTGATTTCTTGATTCTTTGCCTCTTTTGTTTCGGCTTTTGCCAGGATCTTGCATTGTGATGAATTTCATGACTTTAGGTTATAAGTGGTACAAATCTAGAATTTGTGGAGTTAATCAGGAATGATGTAAATTTTATTAGAAAATAGTGCAAATAGAGCACATAGGATTTTAAGTGGAATTAGATTAGTGAATTCGAAATTCTATTGAATTGGAAAATTTGCAATGCACTGTTTTAATTTCATTTTAAACTCTCCATGGTTCAGGTGCTCTCATTTTGTACATTTTTTTACTGTTTTTCAGTTAGGGCTATATTTAGATTAAATATAAGAATCTTTTAGAATTGCTTTTCAAATTTATATTTACTTCAGTTAGAAAATTAAAAAAATTTCTAAAATTGTTAGTCTGTGTAATTAGAAAAATGTTCCAAATTCTATTTTGAAGGAATTCAGAATTCATCTTTCTACCTTTTTCATATAGAATTTACAAACAAGTTTTTTTGAAATAGATTTGCTACCATTAGTTTTACTATAAATTTCTAAACATAATACTTGATGGGTCTAAGTGGACAGTTGATATGATGCAGATCCTACTTGATGTAGTTTAAAGATGTTTCATTTACATGCACATTTGCAATTAGAAAAAGTATGCCTTGTCGAGCCCTAGGGAAAGTGAACCAAAGATTATATAATTATATGTATATTTTAGTCTGATAAGATTGAATCCGAATGTAAAAATTTGGAATTAAAAAAAAAATGAATTTATAATTTAAATAAAAAAATAAATAATAAAGTTAAATTTTACATTCTTTATACAATAATTTATAATATCTAATAGGGTTATTAGAATGTTTTTTTAAAAAAATCAACGGTGATAAAAAAAATGAATAAATAATAATTTTAAAATAATTTTCACTAACATTTAAAGAGTGTTTGGACGGTGAATTATTTATAATTTTTTAATCCAGTATGAATATTATATTAATTATACATACAAAAAATTAAAAATTGAAAAAAATTAAAAAAAATAACTAATGAAATCTTTATTTTAATTAAATATATTTAATATAAAAATATTTGTTTAATACATACAGTTCCGAATTATTTAAAAATAATTTATAAAAATTCATATTCATATCACTTTTTATTTCCATACATAAAGGAATAAATGACGATAATTTTTTTTTCTTACTTGCTAACTGGTACCCCTGGGTACCACACCCCTCCGCTCTTTCCCTAGGTACCCAATAAGTTTTTCACATAAAAATTCTCATCAAATAAAATAATTAACAAACATATATCAAAATCTCATATTATATTTAAAGATCAATTAGACTATATTTATGCAAATGATATAATTTATCAAAATAAAAGATTGAGTAACTAGATAATCAAATAAAATAGATAAATTGATAAGACCATTGAAATTATAAATTAAAAACATGCACAATACGATAATAAGTAAGCAGGACAATACAGAAAAATAAACAGAAAATTAAGACAATTGTGAACTAACCGATTCCGACTCTACTAATGACTTGTAGTTATTTTAGGATTTTTTAAATTTTCATAAAATATAAAATTATACATTGTTAAACCTCACTTTACTGTAACGGGGAATAGGGTGAGAGATTCTTATATGAATCGGTGTTTCGAGACGTTGCGCTATCTATTACGCATCCTAAAGGGTACCAGATTTTCTGAATTTTTTCTGTGGAAGTCAAAACACTCGTCACATACTTAAAAATATCCAAAAAATCTAAAATCGGTGTCTAAAACTTATTCTGGCAAATTTTGGGGTTCTGGCACAGCGATACTGGCTCTGCCACTTAGGGCGACGGTTCACCTCGACTTGGCTGGTTTTGGCCGATTTTGTTCAGTTTTACACGTATTCCTGCAAAAAACATATTATAGACGCATTAGTTGGTCGAAAAATCACAAAAACTAAATCTACCGGCTGGGGGAAGGGGAGGCTTCGAGTGCAGCAGCTCCACCGGTCCTCCTTCGTGGTTGGGATTCTTTTTCTGGCTAATCTATATAGAAAATGATGGTGAACACAATGATCAGAAAATTGTGTTGAACAGGAAGTGGGAAGGGATTCATCGGAGGGATTTTTGGGTTTTGGCCGCGACGGCTCCATCAGGCTATGCTCGTGATTTTCAGCTCACTCGTCATCCCTCTTGCTACGATTTGACCACATGAATGCTCAGAATTAAATTCCAAGCAGGTAGAGGAAAATTTTATCTTTTTTTGCAGTCAACAATAGCTCCGGTGCGGTGGCAGTCAGCCTCCTTCTCCAGTGCCTAGTTATTCTTCTCCGATAGGGGCTGGCGGCTAGGATTTGGGTTCTGCTGCAACGTTAGGTACTTATACCTATTCTACGTCAATCTTGGTCATTCATTGCGATTGATCTCATCCATCCGATCGCGCATAAAGAAGAAACGAATCTGCACCGTTTATCGCGATTAATCTTGTCCGTTCGATCGCACCTAAGGAGAGAACGAAATTTGAGCCATTCACGCGCGTGGGATCAAAGCTAGGTCGTTGGATCGCTGGACACGCGAATCACTTGCGTGACGCCAACGTCAGCGTGTTTGACACGTGACATGTTTCGGTTCGTCGAGATTGCTGACTGGGCCATCTCACGTGGTTAAATTTTTTCTTTTAAAAACGCACACTGAACTCAAATATTTATTCATTTTTTAAAAAATTATTTTAAATCTCGTTTCTAATTTATTTTTTTTCAAAATTTTAATTAAATAAAAATAAAATAATTTAATAAAAAAAAATTATCCTTAGCCACTTTTTTTGGGTTTGGTTGTTACACCGAATGCTGTGATTAGTTTCATCCATTTGCTTCTTCCTCTTGTTGGTGAATCTTTATAGATATCTTCTAATTTTTGGTAGAAAATAAAATTTCTGTTGGACGCCTGTGAACTTCTGTGCGGGGTCTGTGTATTTTCCTTTCTACAGACAACCCTGCGGTAAGGCTGTTAAAAACTCGAGGTAAGAAATCTTTAGCTTTAGCTTTTGGTTCATTTAAAGATAGGATGATTGAATAAAATAATTATGAGTTTTAAATATGTTAATTAAAAATGATTTTAGTAAAAAAAAAAAAACTATTTGATATTTGACAAAAATAATTATAAAAATGCTGACACTTTAAAAAAAATTAAAACTTTATGTTTGGTAAAAATAATTGCTAATGTTAAAATTATTAAATATATATATATATATATATGTATGTAAGAAGAGAATAAGTTAAAAAGTAAAAAGTTATGCGGCTGCTTAAAATAATTGTAAAAATTAATTTCAATTATTGTTTTATAAGTTAATATTAATTAATAAAATAATTATATAATTTAAATTATTAATTATACTTATTTTTACTATTTGAACTTTATATTTTTTTATATTCTTTATAATCGCACTCAGAAAATAGTATTTATACATATATTAATACAGAGAGCGAATTATTATTTTTCATTGTTAAAAGTTCATGCAATCTTCATTTCTTTTCTTTGAAAATCCTTCTCGGAATCGGAACAGAAAAGAACTTTTTCCCTATAAAATCTTCCCTAGAAAAAAGAAGCAAAGTCATTGGACCAACAAAAGAAAAAAAGAAAAACCCATTTCTCAGAACATTAACGAATTGGAGAAACAATATCTGGAACAGCAAAATATACATACGTCAACTTTTTTTTTTTATATTACATACTAGTATGCATTGGCTCGTAGCTACTACCCCAGAGCTTCTTTCTTCAGGGCTCAGTGTCAGTGTCCTCCTGTAATTTTCAAGCTCTTGCTTCCTGTCAACTCCAATTTACCAAGCCATTTTGGGGACATAAAATGGACGTTTGGGGAATTGGGTGCAAATTTGACTTCACTTGAGGTACCCTCACTGCTAAGTATTCTGGTGAAGAAAAATAATAACTCATCGTATTGCTTTCAAAATCTTCACCCCTATGTGTCGATGTATCGTCACCATCATGGGTCTGCAAAATCAAATCACAAAAAACATATAAGTAAGAGAAAAAAAAACATAACCTAATTTTACAGTGATGAATATAAATGCAATTGAAATTTTTGGGTATTCAAATAATTTATGTAATTTTCTAAAAATCTAAGTTAAAACCTAAAAACCCTCCTACTTTCTTTTCGTCGTTGGAAATGAGATACTGGTTTTCTTACGTTATATGTGCATGAAAGCCCTGTGTGTATGAGATTAGAAAATAATCGAACCCGTATATATGTGTTTACTTCTTTTTCGTTGAAAATCATTGAAGCCATACATGTATATATGTAAACTGTAATTATTTCATTTCATAAAAAATTATTAATGTATGGATTACTGCAAACCTTACTGAAACAATTGAAAGCAGCGGAAGGATCAAGCAAATCCTCCACTCGCCAACCCGGCAATGTTTCCATCAAATACTCCGATATACTGCTCGTCGGAATCGAACCACCATCGCTCATAACCTTGTTATAATCATGAACTGTGTAATTTGTCGCTGCAACCGCCATTGAAGGAGAACTGAAGAGCTCACAAGGACTTGACGTACTCTGTGCTCTCTTCATGGGGGACTGAAAGTTGTTAAACTCGGCTCCCATGGTTGCAGCAGACCTATTAGAGCACGATGAAGATGGATTTAAAGAGGACGAAGAAGAAGAAGATGAAGCAGAGAGCTTAACGCCAGTGAGAAGGAATCTGTTGTGTTTCTGTGTGTGTTCGTTGGCTTGGTGAATCGGAAGATCACATTCTCTGCAAAGAATTGCTCTGTCTTCTTTACAGAAAAGTAAAGCGCGTCTTTCCTGTTCGATGAAATTCCCAAGTGAATAAAAGGTTAGTTTTATCATTTTTCGCCATACCCATTCTTTAATTTCAGTCAACAAAACGGATTAGGAAGAAAACAGTAGGATTTCGAGTGACTATTTAATATAGTACAGATTCAATCTGCCTTGATTTTTTATCTATTAGCTTAAGCTGCTGAAGTTTGAACTGATTCAATCGGAATCTTATCCAAGATTTTCTTCGTCATTGGGGGAGAGAGAGAGAGAGAGAGAGAGAGAGAGAAGATCAATGAAAACTTGTGGTTTTCTTGATTTTTGTTTTGTTGCATTGAAAAGAGGAATGGTGGGGAAGTAAGGAAGAACCTACCTGGCAGATATCACAGAGGGGTGATTCCCTTAGGTTAGGGATGACGAGAGAGAACCGCAGATGTTGCCTTGCAAGTTCGTTTGCATGGTGAACTCTACGGTCACAGGCATCACAGAGAGCAGCTTCATCTGCAGAGCAGAAAATAGAGGCTTCCTCTTTGTCACACATATCACACCAAATCTTCATCCTTTTTCTCTCTCTCCCTCTTCTTCTTTAAGTAGCTAAAAATCAGTCTTTAGTTCTATGTTTCTTGATTGGCATCTACATATATATGTAACTATACATTTATATCAAGTTTTCTTGATACAATGAGGAATGAGGAGATTGTTTTGGTAACTTTTGACTTAAAATGGTGTGGAATACAGACAAAAGGGTATATGTAGGAGTATGGGCAATAGAAGTGGTGACTTATGGGTTAATAGAGAAAAAGCCAAATTTCAGGGGTCTTATTTACTGTTACTGACTAAAAGAGAAAGCTCTGGATAGATAGATAGATAGATAGATAGATAGATAGATGCCATATGAGCTCTCTCTCTCTTTCCTGAATAAAGATGGTGAGAAGCAACTTGGCTTCCTTTTTTGGGTATTTGTATATTATTCTTTTGCTAAAGCTTTCACTCTCAATCTGAAACTGGGGCATGGGATTGCATTTATCTCCTCCATTTATTGATTCACAGATGACACAGCACCCTTCTCTTTATATTATATAATACATATTATTATATTGTATTATATTATATAGAAGGAGAAATAGAGAAAGATAAGTAATGTCAGCTTATGGGAGACCAAAGCTTGGTGGTTTAACTTTAATTTTATCAAATTCTCATTGATATGGGAATCTGGGACTTGATTTGATTAGGCACATAATCTTTTTTTCCTTTGTTTTTTTTTTTAATCCCCATTTTTGAGTAATCAATGATATTAATATGCATATGTGGCAAAATTTAACCAGTTCATGTCCTGTAATTCAATGAAAAGGCCAATGACAATGGATTGCTTCACATACTAGAAAATTTCATGGTGAACCACAAGCAATCTTTAGGATGATTTGCTAGGCGATTCCTCTCCTCCAGCTTTGACCTGCCTTATTGCGTATCTTTGGTTAACAAGATTTAAGTACTCAAACCCCTTTTTTTTCTTTTGAACAAAAAGGGTGGGAAAGTGACCATAGTAATTATCTTTTTTACTACAGTTGTAAATATCTTGTTTAAGGTAATTAATAGAATTACAGTTTAGATTGAATTTGAATCATCAATCTTACTACAAAAGTGTTATATTATCTATAGCGTAAATACTTTTACAAGTTATTGTCGAAATGCAAGTACCCATTTTTTATGGTGATTGAAAGCTCAAACTACTATCATACATAAACTTAAACTCATAACTTCTCCTGAGAAAATTTTAGCTATTATTCCAGTGGTGTAAATACACATAAGCTTGTTCTTTATTAGCTAGCCCTGCTACAATCAATGTTTCTACAAATCTTACTATCTTTTCCTTTTTTTCTTAATTTTCCTTTCTGGGTTTTAATTTTTCCGGTATACATATATATATCTATATATATATGTATAAGTGATTTTCAGCTGACTGCTTCCATAAAAGATGAGAGCATTTATCTACACCTGCTACAGGCCAAGTGGCATTAACCATTCCCTTCCATTAAAGCTTGCACCAGTCTTATAATGCCATTTACACTTCACCAACAACAGTCTTATGTGCTCCTGAACCAACTTGTAAAACTTTTATGTTCATGAACATTTTCTGTCTTTTTCTTATGCATATCTCTCCCCCACTTTAAGTAGGCATCATCTAACAAAGACAAAGTTCTTATCACCCTCGCTCTCAAATTCATTCTCTTTTGTAGTTTTTCTTTTTTTTTTTTTTTCGCTGGTCGAGTTTTTTTTTATGCCAACGATTTTGAAGTAATATTTTTTTAAAACGCATTTAAAATTTTATATTCAAAATACAATTTATAGAAAATAAATTAGTTATATTAAACTTAAAAACTACATTAACTGTATCAATATATATCAATTAAAAAAAAAATGGATTATAGATTATGTTTTTCTTCTTGTGTTATATTAGGTCATCCATGACATGTTTGCTTGAATATAAAATCGGAGAGTTATATCAAATATGTGGCATAGTTGTTGATAATAACTAGTAACAATAATAGGCATATGTTAATCAAAAAGAGGAGGAAAAAAAGGATGGTGGGTTAAAGACAATACACAATAACAATATGATAGTGTAATAATTAAGATTTTTAAAGTTTATTTAAAGATTACGAGTTCAAACTTCATTAAGAATGCAGAGTTTGTCAATAATTTAGTTAATTAAATTAATAATTTAATTTATTAATGTATTAGCAAAATTATAATTAGTACTAAGATATATGTAGAGGTAATAAATATTTTATAAATGATAATTTATTTATATATAATAGTAACTTTTGGAAAAGAAATGACTTTTTTTTTTTTGAAAAAAGGAGAAAGGTACAACATGAAAACGTGTCTGATGAAAATGTGTGCAAGTAATTGAGTGCTTGTCACCATTATATATATATATATATATATAGTGATTATTATAGTCAACATTGTATGAGTGTTTCCTTTTCATTTCTTTTTCTTTAATAGCTTTTCGAGAAACCTCTTTTTATATATATATATATATATATCTATATGTACATCTATCATTTTCTGAATCTCGTACGGATATATTGGGTTTAGGCTGGTTTGGAAAAACTAATGAAAATCATGGTATTAGTGTAAAATTAATAAATAAATCAAATTATAAAAAGGAAAAATATTAAATTTTTCTCGAAAATTTAAATAAAACCTCTAATTTTGAACTATTTTTTTTTTAAATAAATTATTAAAAAATAATTGAATTTTGTAGATCTGATTATCCCAACTGCTCTCTGGTTACTTGACAACTTCACATTGGTTGTAGTTGAACATAATACACCATTAATTAATTGTTCCGAATAAATAAATAATTTTTTTAATTATAACGGCAATAATGCTGTGGTTTCTAAATTAGGGAACCAATATACACAAATATATACACACTTATACATATGTGTATGTAGTATTGGACTAACGAAAAAGTATATAATATCTCGAGTTGAATATCAAAGTCATGGTAAAATGTCAAACCAGTGAGAACCCATATATACACACGTGTTATACATACACATTACGTTTAGTTATGTGTCTATATATATATATATATATATTTATATATGTTGTGAAAAATAATAGTGATGAAATATTGAAAATCAGAATACGTACAAATGGAAACTTTTTTATGAAGTCAATAAAAGTTGGCTTAAAAGATTTTGGTCAAATAAAATGATAGCTCTTAATTAAATTGAATTTGGAATTTGGAATTTGGAATTTTTGATTTGCATTGAAACATATTTTGCTTTTGGCAAATCCACATGCGAACTCAAAGGCATCGGAATTAAACAAAACCCACGTAGTCTCAGATATATGATACAATTTTTTTTTTTTTT